GGAGCCCGATGCGGGACTCGATCCAGGGACTCCAGGATCATGACCTGAGCCGAAGGCAGTCGCTTAACCAACTGAGCCACCCAGGCACCCCTCAGATAACATCTTTTAAAAAAATAAAATAAAATCTTATTAAAAAAAGTGACTCCTATGCATCCAAATTTTGAAAAAATCAACACAACAATCCAATTGTTTTTTGCTCAGAGAGCAGAAAGCAACTACTCTACATGAATATACAAACCTACAGCTTTATTGTAACACAAATCCTAAGTATATTAGCTACCTTTCTCCAACATTAAGGGAGTGAATGCTTTATATTTAATAAATGCATATATAATGTATACAACTGTTAGTCACATGTAAGCTATGCTAGAAACTTTGAATCAACTGGAATGTAAGGGTTTCTTATGGGAAGATGTACATTTCAGAAAAAACTCAGCTTGAACTAAATCCACTATCACAATTATGACGAAGGTGACCCATACAAAGCCTATCATTTGCAACTATATATAAAGAAAAACTGCCCAGAAATAATATCAGAAATCTTACTGAAGGGCATCATGGTAACCTGCCTGAAAGTACAAGTAATTTATTTAGGGACTTTAAGTAGCAGGTAACAATGTAAATTAAATTAACATGTAAAAAAAAATATGCAATGTATAATAGCAAGAGGTTAGACAACTGAATACTGTGGAAAAGATTTATTAGCCTGTACAAGTTAGTTTTGATAAACTATTGGCTACTTATTAAATTGCCAAGATTTTCACTGCACCCATATTTTTTTCACACACATCACAATCTGAAAGCAATAGGTCTTTCTCAAATTGTTGTCCAGTGTTTATTCCCCCAACCCTCAAAACACAGCAATAGGTCATATAAAAGGTGTTGGTTTTGAGAGTGGTAAGGACTACACAAGTTACATAATCGTACTATTCCAGTCCTTCCAAATCTAAAATGGGGGAAATCCTTTTTGACATTATGCCAAACACCACATAATTAAAAACACTGCACAAAGTGAGCCCTTTATATAATGACCTTTGCCATGTTTTACTACACTCTCTGGCTTAAAGTTTATTTTGACTGATGGAAACATAGCTATCCTGCTTTCTTTTCGATTCCATCTGCATAGAGTATCTTTTTCCACACCTGCACTTTCAGTCTGTGTGTTCTTAAAACTTGAAGTGAGTCTCTTGAAGACTATAGTTGGGTCGCATATTTCTTTCGCTTCAGGCAATGTATTTGGATTAGAGAATTTAGTCCCTTTATATTTAAAGCAAGTATCAATACAAGTATGGAGTTACGGTTGTCATTCTTTTGTTTTCTAGCTATTTAGAATCATTTGTCCCTTTCTTATTCATTTGCTATCTTTGTGATTTGATGATTTTCTATACAGGAATACTTAGGTTATTTTCTCTTTTACCTTTTGTGTATCTACTACATTTTTTCATTTTGTGATTACCATGAGGCTTAAAGAAGACCTCTTATATAGCAGTCTAGTTTAACTTCTTACCAGCTTAATTTTGCATACTAAAACACTTTCAGGACTCCGGTCATTCTCTAAAAATGTGGATGCATCTCATTTTATGGAAGAGTTAGTTATTCTCTGGTATCTATGAGGATTTCTTCATTTCATGATCCTGGGGTCCAGGATTTGAGTCCCACACTGGGCTCCTTGTTCAGCGGGGAGCCTACTTCTCCCTCTCCCTCTTCCTCTGCCTGCCGATCCCCTGCTTGTGCTGTCAAATAAATAAAATCTTAAAAATAAAATACTGACCAAATGTTTAAAAAATCCCTCTCTTCTGTATGTTGAAGCACAACAGCATGTACATTATCTAACTTTGTATTCCTTTTTTGATGTAATCTCTGAGGAGTGACAGATTTACTGCTTTGTACTGTGAATTCTATGACATTTATTGACATTTGATGTTTAATACGTTTCTACATATTTTTATCTTCGAGTTACTTTTCTTCTCTCAACTCTGATGTTTTCTAAACTGTTAAGAGAAAGTCTTTCCTCATTCATTATGTTTGTACAGTTTGAACCAAGACTGCATTTTGAGATACCCAGTAAGGATTGAATTCCACTTAAAGGCTTGGCCACTTTCTTTACATGTTACAGTTTTGCTCCTGTATGATAAGGATGGATGATGTTGAGCAAGTTATGACTTCCAGCTGGAGGTTTGCCACATTCTTTCCATTTGTCGTATGTAGTTATTTCTCCTCAGTATGAACTCTGTGATGCTGAGTAAAAGTTGAGCAATCCGGGGGTGCCTGGGTGGTTCAGTTGTTAAGCGTCTGCCTTCGGCTCAGGTCGTGATCCCAGGGTCCTGGGATCGAGCCCCGCATCGGGCTCCCTGCTCAGCGGGAAGCCTGCT